GCTCTACTTGGAGGGAGTTCCTCAAGTGAAATCCGCCCCGTTCCTCCGACGTTTGCTCACAAACTTCCCGAATCTAGACGTGCTGGATATTGAATGTACTCAGCTAAACGAAGACGATGTCGTTGCAATCGCCCAGCTCGTGCCCAATCTCCGGGAACTCTACCTGGGTCACACTGGACTCAGAGACACGTCAATCATGCGACTGGTGTCCAGCGGATGCCTCTTTGAGAGGCTGCAAATCGTCTGCTTGTGCGAAACCAACATATCGGACGTTGGCCTCGAAACCCTGGTCAGCGTGTGTCCATCGCTGCGATCGGTCACCGTGAAGCGCTCGCTGGTGAGCAACAAAACCGCAGAGGCTTTGCAGGCGCTCCACCCCGGTCTCCGAGTCAACCGGGTCGCCGTGACCCACATCATGGCAGTGTTCCCCGATCAGGGCTGCGATCACTTCAGTTTGAAGCACGATCTCCGCAACGGGAAAGGAAATATTTGAATTCTCCTCCAAATTAGGCAGCTCGACGTCCACCTTGTACAAAAAAAAACGAAGGAGCCGGCGAGAAATTGAGTTTCGAACTCGCATTGTGAAAATCACATCGACCGGAGAACTCGGTCGCTGAACCCATGTAAATAAGGAATATATGTCGAACGGTTGTAGGATACGATAATTTATGGAGCAAATAATAAGACTATCATCTTCTGAAGGGAACTCGAGAGTCTTAATTTCCATCTATGTTATCCTTTGAATCTGGGGGAAATGCAGATCAAGGGGGAGGCACAGAGTCAGCGGACAAATTCGCCCACTCACGCACCGTAAGAGCTGAGAGAGGGGGGGGGCGGGGGCTGAAGCCCGTCAAGAGAGTCGTTCTAAGATCTAAAAGCTGAAAGAGGAAAATACTTTGGCGGCATGGTTCAACTTCGTCAAGGCTCGACTTCTTCGAAAACGTCGGTTACACTTGGTATTCCACGATCTCGTCACCACTCGTAGGGTTGATTAGGGAAACCGAGGAATTTTCCTTCCACGTGTCCTTGGTTCAACGCCCTCCTGGGAAGTTTCCCACTCTTCGACTCACTCAGGTAGATTTACCATTCCCTGACTGTACGAAAATTACACACGACGGGGAGCAGCTTCTATCGGGCTGCTCCAATGCAGGCAGCCGAGTCGCAAAGAGGCGAGGTCTGATGGAGGAACCATGTATGCGTACCCTCTGGAGTTCGTTCGGAGCGAAGGACGGGATCCGTGGGGGAAAATGTTTTGCCACTCTGAACACTCGAGGAGCTGCCGAGCTCCTACATTTCCATCTCGCACGGAAATCATCTGCCTTTCATCTCGATCGAACCCATTCCCACTCCTGTCTCGAGAGAGGCCTCTGGAAATTCGGAGGACCATTATCTCAAGATACAGGTGTGCCTTCGCGAAGGAAGTGACTACGTCCGAGCGCAATTCCGCCACCCCCCGTAATAAAGCAGGGCTTCGAGTCCGAATGTCGCGACGCAGCGATGAGTCAGTCTCCTCCGGGGATCGTTTGTTTTCAGGGGATCGCAAGTCTGCTCGCCGTTCCGAGGAAAATCGAAACCTCGGCCTGCGAACTACGTACGTCATCCCGAGCACCGACGGATAGATCGCTCGAGGGGAGGAATTGATCAGCTTCCTCACTTCACTCACTTCGGAGGATGCATCTCTCCTATTCCCGGGGAATCTCAAATGCCGGAAGCCCATCCTCACGAGCCGGAGCATTTCCTTCTTCAACGTATTACCGTCCGAATGAATTCTCACAACGTCGGTCCTTCATCCGTACTGAGCATTTGACATCAGGACTCGAGCGGGCAACAATCTGGCGACCGGCCCCAGGGAGCGACTCGAACAGCGTCGCTATAAAGTGTATGAAGCGGAGGAGAAGATCACATTGTAGAGTGGTCCTTTATTTACGCTGGTCGCTCGATTCCATCTCCGAATGTCAACTGTGTATTCGTGTACATATCTGAATCGGCTCCGCCACTCGGGACGGTGCGATCGACGGCGGCGCATTTTGCAGTCTTGGGAAAAGCGTCGACGGCTCTGGGAGAAAGCGGGACTTTGCATCCCGTGCTGGATTCTTTTTTGACGATTCTGAACCGAGCCGGTCGATCTCGATTCGGATCGATCATTCTGAGAGCCTCTCTCCGCAGTGCTCGAGAGGTCATCGGAATAGGAGCTCACCGTCCTTTCTAGGTCGCGGCTCGGTTTCGTCAGAGCTCGCACCTTCAGTGCGGGGGTTCGGACTCCATTGACTGAAGGTTCTGACGCACTCGACGAGACGGTCATTTCCGGAACAACGAACCGCATCATGACTTCTGACCGATTGAGATGAATGTGGGTCCGTCCCTTGTTTCCGGAGCGCTTCTCCGCAGCGGTGCTCGAAGCGGCTCGTCAAAAGGATATACCTACGGACAGTTTACCTTTTTCTCCAGCAATTCCTGGAATTCGCATATCCGTCCGGGCTCTATGATGAAGATCACCGTGGCTACCGCGAGGACGATCAGAAATTCTGTCAAGTTGGGAACAGCTGATTCCGTACGTCCCGAATCTAAGCGTACAGTGAGGACTGAGTCCGATGGCGGATTACAATGAAGCCGTGAGCGCTCGATCGCGTCGCCGCTCTTGTGTACTAAGTCATCGACACAGGAAATGACCTTTATCTCCGGAGTTGTGGCTTCTGATCCTGACATTAAGTAACAACGTTCTATCCGTATCTCGAAAATCTTCTTCTGTTCAAGCTTCAATGGCAGCGACCGAGAGCCGTCTCGATGTTTCATCGGCGCTGAATTCCTGCGTTCGCCATTCGCACAATTAGTACATTCGCGTTCTTCGAGAGATCAGCAACTAGTGCCGGCCATTCGCTAGGTCGGTGACCCCCATTTGATGAGGTGATCATCGAGAGAGAATCCGCCTCGTGCTCAGAAAACGGGTGATCGCTTTCACTCGATGCTGGCTTCGTGCGTGAGAATATGATCTCCTGACCGGGCCACCATACACCAAGAACTGTCATTTACCGTCCCCCTGACGAAAGTTTCACTATATATAATACGTCACCCGTTCGCAGACACGTCTTGAGCTGGCGGTTCATCGAA